CTCCTCCCTGAGACGGCGGGACGCGGCGAGGCTGTGAGTTTGTGTGGGTTTCGCTGTGTCTCGCTGTCTCGCAGACGGCCACTGGGCTCATAGGGAAGGGGGAGAGGGGGGGGGCAGGAGCTCCAACAAGCCGTTTAGGACAGAGAGTGAATACACATACTATACAGAGATGCTGTATGAGAAACCAATGAGATTTTTGAAAATTGCACAATTTAAATGTATTCTATTAGACCTCAACAATGGAATTATGATCAGTAGAAGTGGCCATGACATGGGACCTTTAAAGGAGTTATTTCCCTGAGTCTTTAAACTTTGATTGATTGATTCTCCTATTGAAATCCCACTTCTCATCATAAGGCGTTGTGTGATGATAAATGTAATAAAGATGTATACACAAGTAAACAAGCGAGTGTTTCGTGAGATATAATGGAACTGACAGTGTATTCTGTAAATAGAAACTTGCGTTTTGCCATGTTTTGACAGCAAAACGTTTGAACGTAAGACAGTGACACTTAGGTCCGGCGTAGGGATGACACTCCCTCCATTAGCACATCATCAACATCTCACCGTGATGTGGCTCATCGTATCGTGACTCACATGCATGTTTGCCACAGTTTGCACTCGGAGCTGTCACACAGGATCAACACACAGCGGGACTTTGTGCCATGAGGAAACGCCTTCAAACCGCAGTGAGATAAAAGCTTTGCCATGTTTGAGCTGCAGCTTAACATGCGTGCAACATGCCAGAGGACCGATGAGCACAGGGTCTCATGTTTTAATGCTCGTTAAAACAGACAGGAAGCTCCATTAGATATGAAATGGGTAAAGAAGTCACTAAAGATCCGTCACAGGCCCCGAGGAAGTTAAAGTGTTTACTGCTCTTACTGTAGTTTACACTCATCACGCTGCCTGCCTTTTCTTTCTATAGTGAGTTGTTTTTCATAATGACCATCAATAATCAGATATTATAAACGTCATATATATTAATAATCCACAATTAAAAGCCGCCTAACGACTGCAGTTTCCCACCACCCGGCAGTTATTAAAGAAAAATATAAAATGTGCAAACAATGTAAAAATGTATTAATTTAAATAATAATAATCATTTATAAACAATATTATCTATTGATAATATTTTACAATTTAAATTAGGGCTGTCAAACGATTACAATTTTTAATCAGATTAATCACAGCTTAAAAATGAATTAATCATGATTAATCACCATTCGAACTATGTCCAAAATATGCCATTTCTTTATGTATATTGTTGTGGGAATGGAAAGATAAATGAAAGAAGGCGGATATATCCATTTAACATACAGTATGTATGTGTGTATGTTTATTATAACATTGTTCTGTGTGTCAAAATGAAAGACAGCCCACACACCTATCAATCATCAAACCGTGGGGTCTTATTTCATTACGTGTTGACTTCTATACGTTGTATCGATGTATATAGAGATGTACTACAGCAAAAGTATTCTCCGTCGGGACTTCCTGCAACAACACCACGCCGTTATCTTGATTCTGATTGGCCAGAAGACATTATCAAAGATGTTCTATTGAGAAGACGATCACTACGTGATAAAAGTTTTCAAAACCGTTTCTAATCTTCGGTATTTCCAGAAAAGTGGCTACTGAAATCAATCTTACTAACTGCTGTCTGTGCAATTTGCTCCGCGCGAGTTGGCGGACTTTATTTAGATTACTTTAACATCATTGTTCATGGTGGGGCTAAGGTGGGGCTAAGCCATTTCTTGGTATGGCTGTAGCCTACCCCAGCCATACCCGGGCGCCGCCGCCACTGTTCATTATACGTTATAGTTTAATACGACCGATCTTACCTGCGAGTGACCGTGTGTTTAGGGCTCCAGGAGAGAACAGGGGCTCCGGACCGGGGTTAGGGAGCTCCGGACAGGGCAACGGGAGGCTCCGGACCGGGATTAGGGAGCTCCGGTTAATAAATCCCAGCTCCGTGTCTCACAGTCTGCATCTTTCAAACTTTTAGAGTCAAACCAACAACTTCATAAAGTGAATCCCCAGCTGTTGTCTCTGTGCAGAAACCCGAGTCTCCTCCGTCAGTGGCTCCAGGAAACAGTGATTCAACTCCTGTTAGCTTCAGTTAGCCTCGGTTAGCTTCATGTGTCTCCTGCTCTGATCCCAGGAAACACTTGAAGCTAACTGAGGCTAACAGGAGGCTAACAGGAGAACAGGTTAATAACAAGAGCAGAAACTGAAGTCTGCTGCCACCTGCTGTCTGAGAGGGGAACTGCACGTATTAAAATAAACAGTGGTGGAGGAAGTACTCATATACTGTATTGTACTTGAGTAAAAGTAGAAGCACTCAGATCTTGTACTTGAGTGAAAGTAGAAGTACCAGAGTGTAGGAATACTCTGTTACAGTAAAAGTCCTGTATTAAAGTATTATCATCAACATATAGTTAAAGTAGTTAAAAGTAGTCATTGTGCAGATAATAATAATAAATATGATATGTCTTATAATTATTGATGCAACAAAGTGCTACCAAAGCTGGTAAAGTTGAAATTGTGTGTGTGTGTGTGTGTGTGTGTGTGTGTGTGTGTGTGTGTGTGTGTGTGTGTGTGTGTGTGTGTGTGTGTGTGTGTTTTATCTGATCCGGATGGTTACTAATTCCTTTTCTTTATGGCGGTCATTTTTGACCGGGTCCACCATGGGTGTTTCAAAGTTGACTAAATCATCCAAAATTCAATGAAAGTGGTGGTCAGCAATTTTATATGTTCAAATGTCCACTGTGAAGGATATCATAAAGCCTTAATGCAATCGAATGTAAAACAAAAAAGTTATGATGGATGAAAGTAGTAAATCGGTCAGATTTGACCCGTAGACAACAGGAGGGTTAAAGAAGATAAAAAGTAGGATAACTACCACAAAATTCAATAAACAATTGAAACTATTATACGTTAAGATATAGAAAAATTATTTACATGTAATCTGGACAAACAAAAAAGAAACTATGTGCAGTACACTATTGCCAAGTATACTGAGAATATTAAAATAAACTCAAATAAAAGAACAGTATTGTTGTGGAAAGTGGATGAGAGGTATTGTGTACAGATGTTCAAATATTTGGAGGGTTGTGCAGAACTAGATACTTAAAGGGAAGAGGGGTGCAATAAGTCCTTCCTTCCAGCAGCATTCCAAGATCCCCCCCAACACATAGACTGGAATATAACACTTTGTGCAATATACATGCAAGTGCAAAATAACCTCCTGCAATTTCCCATTTATTTTGTATTTATCTTTTTTTCTCCGTTTACTAACAATTGGCCTACAGTACGAGCTAGCTCATGATTCAATATGGTCACTTTTCTTAAAACAAATATAATGCTATTTCTTTTTACCATGGTGTAAATATCTGCCTTCTTGTTTTGTAGGTATTGTGTTATAAACAACGTGTGCATGCTTAGCCATTTTTAAAAATTGTTTTCCTCACTTTATCAGCACTATCTGCTGTTGTAATCATTTCCCCGTTGCGGAACAAATAAAGGATATCTGAAAAAACCAATATAGGCTACTGTTACGTGTATCTGTAATATATGTATATAATGTTTTCAATTAGTAATACTTCTTTTTAGGAAATGTTGTAATTTTTGTACATTGACTGTCAAAATGCTGCCGTGAAAATCAATTTCCCAGCTTGGGATAAATAAAGTGTGCAGCGTAAAGTGCATTCAACACGATCCAGCCACGGCTACTGAGTGACAAGCTGCAGGCTATGAGGGTAAACGCGTCCACCATCTCCTGGATTACCAACTACCTCACTGAGAGACCACAGTACGTCCGGCTGGGCAGTGTGCTGTCTGATGTGGTGGTACTTCAGGAGCCCCTCAGGGG